CGTCACGCCTGAGCCTCGGGTCGTCCCGGCCCTTCCGGCTTCGGAGGACGGGAAGGCATTTCTCAAGCGCCGAACCGCAGCCCTCTGCGAAGAAGCTGCCATCGGCTGCTGCGTTTCTTTGCATTTTCCCGGTGTGTCTTCGTTTCTAGCAGCTGGCGTCAGCGATGGTTTCAGGATGCAAAAGTTGGAGGTGGAGTCCTTGTTTCGTATGGTTATTTCTAAAGGTGAATTCAGAGTATCTCTCAGTAGTTTGTCACAGTTAACAATTTTAAGGATTCGGAAACTAAGATGTGAGTCACGTTCTGAGGGTCACATGTTAAATGATGGTAGCTTTCTGAGAGGAACCTAGGTTCCCTAGCATGCGAGGGGTGCGCACGTCAGCGAATATTTGGCCTTTTCCTGTGTATCTTGTAATTCATTTACTTTTGCAGCAATCCTTACAAGAGGATATCATCGTCGTTTTACAGAGTGATTAAGCCTAAGTGAATTACCCAACACCATACAAGCAGTAAGCAGCTGAGCTGGAGTTGAACCCAGATCAGCTGGCTCCAAAGCGTGGGCCTTTTCCATGACATGTGTTGGAACACAGGTAGTGGAAATGCTACTACTGGGAGAGAATGTGGGAACGATGGAGGCTGGGACCAGGGCGCAGACAGTGGCCAACAAGAGGCCAAGTTAAAAACAATTTGCAGGAATTGGGTTCTGTTCCCCAGCGTATTGGTTTATTATTCATTTTTTAAATATGTTTTATTGATTTAAGAGAGGAAGGGAGAGGGATAGAAACATCCATCAGCTGCCTCCTGCACACCCCCTGAGGAGGAGGGGATCCCCTACTGGGGATTGACCCCCCTCCCCAAACCCAGCATGTGCCCTGACCAGGAATTGAATGGTGACCTCTTGGTTTCTAGGTCAACACTCAACTGACTGAGCCACACTGGCTGGGCTCAGTGTATGGGTTTAAAACTGATAGGTTAAAAATATATAGGATGCCTGTGCCTCTGCTTTGTGAGGTGCTGGGACGCCCCACTTTTGGAATGGCGGCTTAATTCTGCATGGGGATATAGACCACTGATGTTCCTGAAATTTGCAGGTCTTCTCCATCCCTGGATTGCCCAGTGTTGTGTGTTGATGATAGTTACACTTATTTTCATGCCCCCCAAATTTTAGGTTTGTTTTGTTCATTTTGTGTCTGTCTCTAGAAAGTCATTCTGATCTATCTAGTAAGTTACTTTGGGGGAATTTTTTATTTTAATTTTTTAAATTTAGTTTTTTAGATTTAAAAACCTTCCCTTTTATACTATGATTTATACGAACACCTGCGAATTCCGCGTTTAATGTTATGAGTGATATTATTTTGATTCAGTGAGGTTTAGGGGATTTTGTGTTTTTGGTTTGGTACATGGTTTGAACTTGCTTTCCTAACTAGAATAGACTAGTTCATACAGACCAAGAATCTGATCCTGTCAGTTTTTGCATTGCTTGGTCTTGTCAGCTGAGGTTAAATTACTTTTTTCCACAATGACTAAATGTGATTTCATGGAAAACATCTTTAAGAGATCAGACTTCCCTATTTGAGAAAAAAAAAAAAAAAAGTTCTTTAAAATGGTGTTACCAAATCAGACAGAGACTAGAGGAGGGGAACTAGGGTTATGAATACCATGTCATAAAGAGTATTTGAAAAAATTCAAATATTTAGCCTGGACAGGAAAGGCCAAGGGTAAAAAACACATGGAATCTGAACGATGTCCTATTGAAGAGGGATTCGATTTGGTCACTGATGTCCCAGAGGTAAAAAGTATGACCTATTTTTCCCCCCCACTTAATTGATTCCATCCACTATTCATAGACCACAGCATAGTATGGTGGGAGTTCCCAAAGGGCTTAGCCTCTAGCTCAGACTGGGGAAGCTGAGGGCAATTTCCCTGGGTGGGAGGGTCTCACAGGACAAATGTGAAAGGTTGGGGTGGGGAGAAAAGGCATTTCCGACAGAACAGCTTATGTAAAGCACAGAGGTATGAGAGCAAAGGCAAATAGTTCGGTGGGGTAGGAGTGTGTAGGGGCTGAGAGATCCCAGAAGTCATGTTAGTGAGGTGTCCTTGGGTGTTATGTTTTTGATTTTGTCTCAAAGGCTCTGGGGCAGTGAGTGAAGGTGTTTAAACTGAAGGATGAATGAACAAGTCTGTATTTTGAAAAGAAGACAGATCATAAGGTGGCTGGTTCCAGCAAGCCTGGTGAGGGCCTGAAGAGTGTGCCCTGCCCACGGAGGAGAAAGGATTCGTGGGATAATCAGGAAAAAGATGGACGGATTCAGTGGTTGATGAGCTGTGGTGCTGAGGAAGGCTTTAAGGAGACCCATTCGAGCAGCTGGATGGAAGGTGGTGTCATCCTTTGAGATAGAGGATACAAGATTGTATGGAAAGATGGTGGATTAAGTTCTGAACCTGTTGAGTTTGAAGGACTCACGGGACTTAGAAGGAAATGCTCAGCAGACTGCTGGGTGTGTAGGTCTAAGGCTCAAGAGAAATCTAGGCTGAAAATCAAAATCTGGGAGCCATCAATGTGTTTTTGGTGTTTTCAGCGTTAGGAGAGAGATACAGACTAGGAAAGCAGTGAAGGTCAGGAATGGAGCCCTCAGATCTCCAAAGTGGAGTACGCTAGTTGATCTCCTGGGATGCCAGAAGAATGTACTAGGACTTCCATTTATATCTAATTTTTATCCCCCCCCCTCCCTTTTTTTGTATAGTAATGGTCAGATATTTTGTAGAATGTCCCTCAACTCAGGTTGTCTGATATTTTCTCATGATTAACTTAGGAAGAATACTACACAGGTATCTCCTTTTTAAATATTTCCATTTTCGTGTGCTTTGTAATATATTATGAATATATAACCTATTATGCTACAAATGTATACAAATATACAAGTTTATACTTTGTAAATAAATATGTGTATAATGGGGGCTACCTTCAAATTCTGTACTGAAAAGGTTGAAACCTAAAAAGTCAGGACATCTCAGTTTTCAAGGACATGAGGGGAAAGAAACCGAGAAGTAGCCAGAGGGATTGGAAGAAAAACCAGGCGCATGGGCTTATGAAGGTCAAGGCAGGAGAGTTTCAAGGAGGGAGTTGCCAGTATCGGGTGCTTTAGGAAGTTAATTAAGTTAAGGGCTGAAAATTGTCTTTTGGACTTGGTGAGTCGTTTCGGTGGCATGGTGCAGTCAGGAGCTGGGGAGTAGGTGGTAAATGTGAGACGAAGACAGAGAGAAGCCAGCGTGGCTGACTGCTCTGCTAGCACTCTGCCTCTGCAGGGAAGCAGAGGCTGGTGGAGGCTGGGAGGACCAAAGGAGGTTTTTTGTGGTTTTACTTTTAGAATGGAAGCACCCTAAGCATATTTTTATGCTGAAGTGAGAGAGCCAGTTGATACGGGAAAATTGGTAATATAAAGTGTGGCTTCATTCATTAATTAACTGAACAAGTATTTATTGCGCATCAATGTGTCAGGCGCTGTTCTCAGCCCTGGAGATGTTGTGGGAACAAGACAAACTGAAATAAACCCTGCCCTTGTGGAGCTTATGTTCTACAGGGCCAGCTTTTTATGCCTACAACCATATGGGCACCTAACTCCTGATACACTGTGCCAGAATAGTGGCTTAATAAACACCGAATAATTTAATAGGTGAATGAATGAAGGTCCCTAAGAAGGCTGAACTACAGGGGCTTTTTTTGTGTTTTTTTAATCCTCATCTGAAGATATTTTTTTCTGTTGCTTTTCAGAGAGAGTGGAAGGGAGAGAGAGAGAGAAAGAGAGAAACATCGATGCGGGAGAGACACATCGATTGGTTGCCTCCTGCACACTCCCTAACCTGGGCCGGAGATCCGGCCTGCAACCGAGGTACGTGCCCTTGGCTGGACTCGAACCCGGGACCCTTCAGTCCGCGGGCTAATGCTCTGACCACTGAGCCAAACCCACTGGGGCAACCACAGGGTCATTTTAGACTGGGAGAGGGACATCCCCACCGGCACCTGGAAGAAGAGACAAGGATAGGGGCTGTGTACAGAAATTTGTGGTGGGGAGAGGAAGCAAGTAGCTGGAGGAATTCCTCTGCCTTCTCTTGAAGCTGGAGTTGAGGATATCTAATGAGACCCAGTCGGAAGTGATCAAAGATGAAAGAAGAAAGCCTATTTCAGTTCAGTACAATGAGAAACTGTTGGGACAATAGAGGTGATGGCTAGCGTGCGTAATGTTTGTAAGTTGATGTGGCGTTCCCCTTTCAGGTAGAGGATAGGTGACTTTCTGTCAGGTATCCCGGAGATACCTGGGCTAAGCAGCAGTTTTTCGGTATAGGAGTCCATGACTAAGGTTTTCTGAAGCACTAGGCTCCTGAAGGACTGTTGTGCAGGCACAGAAGTAGAATCTAACTATAAAGCTGAGGCAAAGTAATTTAGTATAACTTTGTTGGGGTTGAGTGACTAGGGCCACATCTCAAAACAGGGCTATCTCCAGATCCAAATGTAGTTTTTTAAATGTGTATGGTGCTTTGATGCCCTAGCCAGTTTGGCTCAGTGGTTAGAGTGTCAGTCCGCATACTAAAGGGTCCCAGGTTGGATTCGGGTCAAGGGCCACATACCTCGGTTGCCGGCTCAGTCCCCAGCTCCAGTAGGGACACGTGCAGGAGGCAACCAATGGGTGTGTCTCTCTCACATTGATGTTTCTCTCCCCCTCCCCCCCCACTCTCTCTGGAAAGCAATGGAAAAAATATCCTCGAGTGAGGATTAAAAAAATAAATGTGTGTGGTCCTTTGAAAGTATGGGTCTCTTGCCGTCCCATTTTCCTTAGAGTTTGCAATAACTACTACTTGAGTGAACCAAGATGTTTATCAGTTACAAACAGCCATTCCATTGTAATTATTTTCTAAAGATTTTTTATTTTTAGAGAGAGAGGAAGGGAGAGGGAGAGAGAAACATTGACGTGAGAGCGAAACATGGAACAGCTGCCTCCTGTATGCCCCCTGCTGGGGGATCAAACGCGAAACACAGGCACATGCCCTGACCAGGAATTGAACCAGCGACCTTTCAGTGCATAGGATGTTGCCCAAGCAACTGAGTCACACCTGCCAGGACTGCTAATTTTTTTTTTCGGTCTACCTCCGGCTAGAACAATTTGGAAATTTCTGCTCTGGTGGCTGCACTGAATTGAGACTCATAACTCTTCATGTTGTATCAGCACCATCCTGAGGCCTTTTATTTACTGTCAATACTGCAACACCAAAACATTTACTGTTGCTTCCAACTTTATTCCCATACTCTGTAAGTGAAACTTCTTAGGTCAACGGGGTAACAGTGATGCTTTATTAAAGTCTAATTTCCCATACTAGGCATGAACAAGATTTGTTTTGGACTTGGAGCTAATCTTTTCATAGGAACTTGAAAGGTTCCATTAGCTACTTGCCCTTGTGTGAGCCAGACATCATTGGGTTACCACATGACTTGTGAAGAGGCCAGATACTTCATCTTTAGCCTTGGAGGGTCTATAAAAACAGTCCCTTGCCTGGCTGGCATGGCTCAGTGGTTAGTGTTGGTCTATTAACCAAGAGGTCGCTGGTTCAATTGCTGGTCAGGGCTTCGGGTTTCGGGCTTAATCCCCAGTAGGGGGTGTGCAGGAGGCAGCCGATCAATGACTCACTCTCATCAATGATGATTTTATCTCTCCCTCTCTCTGTGGAACCAATAAAAATATTTTTAAAAAACAGTCTCTTTATTCTGATCCTTCACTTTTTAATCCCAGGCCCCATACCCATAGACTAGTTGACTTTATTATTACAGAATACCTTTTCTCACCTTCTTAATATGTCCATTGGAAATACTATTTCCTAGATTTTGTTTCTAAAGTCTGAAGTGTTTTATATTCTTACTGGTAACATGTACCCCCATTTGACAGTCCACATTTCACTAGGTTTGCCTGTGGGATTAAAGGAAAGATATAATTCCCTAAATATACTAACCTGCAAAGTTTTAGGGTACAATTCTAGGAATTTTATGAATTTGCATTTTGAAGAGAGGGTCAATGGTAGAAATCATTTAGAGATTTTAGGTTTCCTTTCTTCCTTGTTAGTCTGTGCTAGGGTTTTGTTTTTGGTTTCTTAAATTCTCCAGAAGTACCACCGATTTTTAATTCTTGACAAATTGCCACATGTCCCTGTTTAACCATTTGTAGGAAGGCATCTAGATCATTAGGGGAATCTGGTTTCTTAGTTGTATCTTTGTTGCAGCAGAATGTGTCAACTTAAATTCTTAGATACCTTGTAAAAGAATTCATTGATGTTTATTTAGGATTCAACATTTTGTCTGATCATAATTTAGTATGTTAAGTCAATGGGAATGGGGAAACATACTTAATAATTTTCAGCATGGATGCTAAAGACTTATGATGCTCACCATTCATTTACTAATCTGTTTTCTTCTCAGGTGTTTTGGGGAACGAGTTTAGTATATTAAGATCACCAGGGTCTGTTGTTTTCCGCGATGGAAATTGGCCTATACCAGGAGAGCGAATCCCAGATGTGGCTGCATTATCCATGGGCTTCTCTGTGAAAGAAGTATGTGTATTTGAAAAATATATTTGGGCCCTGGCTGGGTAACTCAGTTGACTGGAGTATCATACTGATACGCCAAAGTTTTGGGTTCCATCCCCAGTCAGGGCACATACAGGAATCAACCAATGAATGCTTAAGTAAGTGGAACAGCAAATCAGTGTTTCTCTCTCTCTCTTCCTCTCTAAAATCAATCAAAATTTTTTTAAAAATTGGAGCTACTTCTGAAAGCATTTTTGTTAATTGCTGCTAATAGCCCAAGAAAGCAACAAGCAAACATAGGTATATTTGGTACAGATTGCAAATGTAAAAAAGCTCATTTGTAGTTGGGGAGATTTTGGATAAGTGCTTCAAGCTTGGCTTATGAAACCAAATCCTTACAAATCATTATCCATATAATAGTTTATGCATTGTAGTAACATTCTTTATATATAAGAGAATGAATCTATCTGTCCTATTAATAGGATGTATAATTTTATTTTTTCGGTACACATGATAGATTTGTGTCTTAGTTCAGGCTGCTGTTACAAAGTACCGTAGACTAGGTGGCTTATAAACAACAGACATTTCTTACTGTTCTGGGGCTGGAAGTCTGAGATCAGGGTGCCAGCATGGTCAAGTTCTAGTGAGGACCCCCCTTCCAAGTTGCAGACTGTGGACTTCTTGCTGTATCCTCACATGGTAGAGAGCCGGTGAGAGAGCTCTCTGGAGTCCCTTTTATAAGGGCACTAACCCCTTTCATGAGAGCTCCACCCTCATGACCTAATTACCTCCCGAAAGCCCTACCACCAAATACCATCACCTTAGGGGTTAGGATCGCAACATATGAATTTGGGGTGGGAGACACAAACATTCAGTCTGTTACAATTTGTTATGAATGATAAGATGTGTATGCATCTTGCCCGAGTTTAGGAAAATAGTGTTGTCAGTAGTTAAGGAATAGCCTAGGACCATGGTTTCCTACAATTAAGCTGTAACATGTAGTAACTGGCTGCTTACGTGATATAGCAGAGGAGACCTAGATCCAGTCAGTATGAGAAATCTAAAGCTGTGGGCTAGAAGAAAAGGGATTTAGTTTGCTTTGTCTTCCTGTCATTATCTCCTCCCATTTTATAAGTTTGGTGCTTTTGATGTGGTCTCTAGATACCACCGATCGCTCACAGGACTTTCCTCCTGTGTCCCGAGTGCCTTTGAAATCAGAAGCAATGCATGGGAACCCTCGCTCTGCTCTGGTGGGCCTATGGGAGGAGCTCCTGAGCTCCTAGCATGAATGGGACTGGTTGTTTACATTTAAAGATGAAATTTGTACTTCCTTCTTTACAGACTTAAACTTGACTACAAATGGCAATGGAAATAACCTTTAGAAGTAAGCATTAGTAAACTAATATGAGTTACTTTCAGCAGGAATTTTGTTTTGTTTATAAAGAGCTTAGTCTAATGAGAAGTCTTTGTATCCTCACCCAAGAATATGTTTTTTATTGATTTGAGAGAGATAAAGAGAGAGAGGGAGAAACACAGATGTGAGAGAGAAACATCCATTGGTTGCCTCCAATATGTGCCCCAACCGGGGATTGAACTGGAAACCTAGGCATGTGCTGTGACCGGGAATCAAACTCACAACCTTTTGGTGTACAGGACGACTCTCCAATCAGCTGAGCCACCCGGCCAGGGCTAATGAGAATGTTTTAATGACAGTCTTGCCTTGTCACTGAAAGAGAAGAGTGATGCAGTAGTTAAAGACAAACAATGATGGGGGGAAGAAAACACCCATGGTTTTAAGACAACGAATATTTTGTAATCTGGAATTTGGAAAGTACCCGTGTTTTGTTTACTTGCCTGCTATTTTGCATCAAAGGCTTGAGGTGACTTCCTATTAAACGTTACTGTTCAAATCTATAGAAGTTTCCGAGGAAACGAAGGTAGAAATCCACATCCTTGGTTAGGAGATTGCAGCTGCTGCCTTGAATACAGCATTTTTTCTCCTTGTGAATTCTCATTGCCAGTGTCATCCCCGAGCCCCTTTACTCTGTTTGTTAGATGTCTCTGGGGCTTGGTCTCCTGAGTTGATAATTAAGCACCATTTCCTGCTTTTCCATGTTTAGGACCTTTCTTGGCCGGGACTTGCCGTGGGTAACCTATTCCATCGTCCTCAAGCTACCGTTATGGTGATGGTGAAGGGAGTGGACAAACTCGCTCTACCCCCAGGCAGTGTCATTTCCTACCCTTTGGAGAATGTGAGTATTTATTATAAAAAGTTAAAGGGGTGCATTTTTAATTTCGTCTTGTCAGCTGTCATTGTGAATTGTGTTCTAAGTACACTTGTCTTTTGTTGATGCACTGATTGATAAGTAAAACAACTTCTGTTAAAAAAAAATAACGTGGTGGTTGTAAATTTATGGAGACTTGTCTGTTCCCTATGGCTGGGAGTACTGTCTAAGATAAAAGGTAAACAAATTGCCCCACTCTCGGAATAGTCAGAGGCTCAAAAAAATGAAACCAATTGAGGGTGTATCCTGCTGACACTGTCTTGGGCATTATCTTATCACTTTCCCTTCAGAATTTTACTTCATTTTTCTGTAAGGAGGAGACTGGAGGCCCTTTGGCTGGCTCACTTATTCCTTCACAGGCCTTTCAGGCAGTAAGGCTGACTGGGCTGTTGCGAGAGGCCCTCCTTCTACTACAAGCATAGAGAAGTCACCAGAACATTTTACGCGCATAACCAAACTAATGAACGGTCCATATAATTTTTTCTTTTCCTTCACAGTTTGGTGATCATCTGAGTCAGTAGCTTTTTTGGTTTGATTGCTAGGGATGTGTTACCTTTAATCTTCAACTTTCCTGCCACGAGGGCCATTGCACTAGGCAAAACGAGGCTGGAAAACTTGTTACACGTTCTAGTAGCCCTCCAAAGTCTGAGGAAGGGAACTGCATGGTTGCAAAAGCAGAGCTCTTGTAGCTGACTCAGGGAGCTGGTGACAGGGTGCTTTTGCAAGTCTGAACTTTCTTCTCTCTTCTTCAATTGCTCATTAACTCATTTTAAGAGAATTTTGGAAAGAATTAATATGCATCTTGAGTAAGAGGAAAAAATGATTTTGTTGAAATTAAGAAACTTAATTTTAATGGTGGGATTTGATCAGTAAGACTTATATAATCATTCTGCCTGCACCATGTTAGTATTAATTTGTTGCTGATAGCCCGGCCGGGCGTGGCTCAGCGGTTGAGCGTCAACCTAGGATCCAGGCGATCGGGGTTCGATTCCCGGTCAGGGCGCATGCCCAGGTTGCGGGCTCGATCAATGACTCTCTCATCATTGATGTTTCTATCTCTCTCTCCCTCTCCTTTCCTCTCTCTGAAATCAATAGATATATTTAAAAAAAAAAAAAATT